ACGATGTCTCGTCAGGCGCACTCAACAAGGGGCACGCGATGTCTGCTACCGTTGCACACTCACGAAGAACAAGACGCCGATACGCGCGAGAACATCGCCTTGATCGTAGCCGAGTCGGAAGAATGCGAAACCAATGATGATGAGCAGGATGACCGTCTGGCCAACGACGGCAATGATGGTGGGCACGTCGCGAATGAGCTGCAGCCAATTGCGCTCGGTGAGAACGGCCAGCTCGGAGAGCCAAGAAGCAGGCCAGTGACGATACATTTCGCCATCGCGAGCCAGATCAGCAGAGGATCGCTTCGTTTGGGAAGCATCGGTCAGCGCGACCGCGGGTGTAGAGGCGCCGCTACGAGCGCGTTCGTGCCATGCGCTGATCAGGTGGTCTATGCGTTTAGCGCCCTCTGCTGTATTTCCTGGATTCTCTGCCAGAGTGATGTAGTGATCCGCGGGGTTTGTGCCTTCTGGCACCTGATATCCGAGACTGTCGAACCATGCCAGCGTCTCTCGAGGAGGTCCCTCGTAGTAGACGCGGCCTTGAGCGAGCAGCTGGATGCGGTCGTAGAGACAGAGCAGCGCCCAAGACGGCTGATGGATCGTCATTAAGCAAGAAAGATTCTTTTCCTTGGTCGTGTTGCGCAAATTCTCCACCACAGAGTGGGCGGCAAAGGCGTCCAGACCCGACGTTGGCTCATCGAGCAGCAGCAGAGACACGTCGCTCACGAGTTCCTGGAAGCGAGACGAAAGGGGAGGGGATGAGTCGGCCACTCGATGCAACTTTCCACATGGTGCTTTGCCTGCTCACCACGCCAATGCTCGTTCTCTTGCGTTCCCCTCCGCTGATACCGCGGGTGCGCGCATCTCCGATTCTAGAGTCTCTGCACTTTTCCAACCTGAGCATGCGGATAATGTCTTCCACACGATCCATCTTCGTCTGACGATCGTACATGGAATCCGGCAACCTCATCCTAGCAGAGTAGCTAATCTGCTCGTGCACCGTCAGCGTTCCGAACATCAAGTCATCTTGCTCCACAAAGCCGACGGTGCGCTTCCAAGTGGCAGGGTCGCGTGATTTGCCATTGAATAGCACTTGGCCGTCGAGGTTGCCAAGTTTGGACAGTCGGGCAGACAAGACGTTTAACAGTGTCGTCTTTCCAGCACCCGATGCACCAAGGATGGCCACCATTTCGCCGCGTCGAACGGAACCAGAGACACTGTCGAGCAGCCTGCGATGCCCGTCCGCCAAGTTCGTGGCAGTGAGCGTAGGCGTCGCGGCTGGTGGTACGCCATCCGCCGATGACTCGCTCTTTTTGGCCGACTTTTCCACATCCGCTGAAGCTGCGTTGGCTGAGCGTTGCTGCTCCACCTGGGCCTTTTGAGCTTGCGCTTTGAGCGTCTTGCGAGGGATTGGAATGTCGAACGTGAGATCATGCCAGCTGAGGCTGACATCCTTGGAAGTCATAGTGTGTGTGTGTGTGTGTGTGTGTGTGTGTGCGCGCGTGAGTGCCAAAAGGTAGAGGAAGAGGCTCGC